ATAAATAAATCTATAAACAAAAATATAAGATCAAATAAAAAAAGTTGAATAAAATGCATCTTAAAATATAAAGCTCAATAAAATGATAAAGTTGAAACTAGAAATCAAAAATATTAAAAAATTTAGGATTTTTTTTTTTTTTTTTGTTTCTACAAAAATAAGGATGTGCAGTGGACCACAACAGGGTGTAGCAAATGGCGGCAAAGTATGGCAAGATGCAGTAGTTTGATAGCAATGTGTGGTAATACATTAGCACAGTAGCAGCAACATATGATAGCAATAATAGAAATACAAAACAACAACAATTGCAACAATAACAAGAACAATACATGACATAAGTAGTAGTAACATAATAGCAACAACAACATAGGAAGAAAAAAAATTGAGGAGAAAATGAAGGATAAAGTGTATATAAGTTTTTAAGAACCAAGACTAGGATATAAAAGTAATCGTGCTAATAATGTGTTAAGAATGTTATAGAAAGAGAGAGAGAAATAAGAGTAGTTAGAAGTAATATGCAAACATATGTAAACATACACACACACAAGAAGTGAGTTTATTGATAGGATTATATTTTTTATATATAAAAAAAAGAGAAGATAAATAATTTTTATCTATTATATTTGAAATACTATAGCTACAATAAATATTATAGACTATAATAAATAGTATAGAAAGTGTCGGCTATATTTAAAGATCTCAATAATTTCTAATTCCTGTTCAGTATGCTTTGTTGCTATTAAATGCTCTTATGTGCTGAATAGAGTCTTTTCTCAGAAAAGTATCATGAATATAATCATAATTACCTATATGATTAGATAGAAGTAGGTAAAAGTAGATAAAAGTAAATTAATTTCATAATATCTTCTATTAAAGCTTTATAGAAGCTTTATAGATGCTACTTTGATTTTATAGGTATTTATAATTGATATTTTAGGTTAAAAACGTGATCAACAACTTTGCAAAGTCAACACATATTAGAGGTCCTATAGAACATTGCCACATAGCTCTTAGTTAGATAGTATATATAGAGGCAAGAGTGAAGACCTCTTCACTCTTGTCAACTCTTTTCTTGCTTTTAGTTTAGATTCAAGAGTTTCTAATTTCCTTGTCTTTTGGCAATAGCCATTTCAATTTTCTTTTAACACATATTCTTTTTTATTTCTATTTTGTTATACTTCTTTATTTACTTTTATCAAATTCTTGTTCTTGACAAAAAGTGGATTTTTGAAGGCCCAATTTCATAGAGCCAATAGAATTATGTTGTGATTTTCGAACTTGCAATGTGTCAACTTATGAGTTTTTTTTTTGTACAATGTATTAATAACAGCTCCAATATGAAAGGTGGTTAGTGAAATAGAAGTTAATGAGTCATTCTATTTTATTACCTCATTATCTCATTTATTATTGTGAATCATTTATTCTTATTGCATGCACACAATCAAAAAGGCTTATATATTCTTCAATGGAATTAGCAATACAAATATTTGCATTTGTAAAGAGGATGAAACTTCAATTTATATGTGAGGATGTAGTAGACAATAAATTACAATTTGTGCTCCTTATAACTCAAAATATCTTTTATTTATTGAAGCATTCAAATTTTGCATGCAAGATATGTAGACAATGATGGCAACAAAACCAAGTAGAATTATTATGTATAAACATAGCTGGTTTATATATAAAACAATACAAGCTATTACTTTGTTTAACATCTCATATTTTATGATTCTAAACTTGTTATTTGTACATAGTATTAGTGTCCCTTACTACCATAGAAAAAAGTTAATGTGTATTATTGTATCTTTGCTATGTTGAAAATGTCACTTTATTTATATTATGCAATCAACAAAGACTTATGAAGAAACCATAGATAAAATTAAACTCATATCATATGTGTATATTAACTAAATTATTCATCCCACCCTCACTATTACTTGAACCAATCCTTACAAGCCAGAAATAGAAAATAAATAATAAATATTATATTATATCAATAAAAAAATAATAAAAAAATTAAGTCACATTCTAATATTTTAAATATTATATATTTATCTTTAAATAGAAATTTCAATCCAATATTTTTCAAGAATCTTACTAAGTCCTCAATTGATACACCACAATATAAAAGTGACAAAAGAATCTCATTACAGAACTACATGCTCTTTGTACAAAGTTGAAGTATCTTTGCATACATACATAGTAATGGCAGCAAAATCAAGTGGAATTCGTATATGTAAATAAAGAACGTTGATGCATTAAGCAATATAAGCTACCATTTTATTCAATAACTCACATATTATGATTATCAACTTGTTAATTAAACATTGTATCAATACTCCTTACTACTACTAAAAAAAATTAATGACTAATCCATAGCCTTGTAAGAGTAATATGAACTTGTATATGTAATTAAATTGATGTCATTTTAGTAAGAGGAATAATTTCTAATTTCTCTTCAAGGCTATAGGATACATATGAATTTTAGATATAAGGATCACACTCATACCAATTATTTTTATTGTTGATATAGTCAGGATATTACTTATACTATATAATCAACAAGGCTTAGAAAGAAACCACAGATATACTTGAATTTAAATCATATGTGTATTTTACCTATGAAATGTTTTCTACATTAATATCATCATCTAAACAGACCCTTGCAAGTCAACAATGGAAAATAAAGCAAAAATATTGTTTTATATTACATCATTGAACAACTCACAAATTATAATTCTTGGTTTTTTCTTGAATATGGTATTAGTGGTCCTTACTGCCAATTTTTTTTTAATGTGCACCACTTTAGATTCAAAGAGTAATTTGAAATTGTTAATATAATTTAATTTACATCATTTCAATGAAAGAAATTATTTCAAATTTATCTTAGAAGATAATGGATTCATGTGATTTTTTTTTTAGATATAAAGATGACACTCATATCAAACATTTCCATTGATAACATGTCAAAGATACCACTTTATTTATATTATGCAACTAGTGGGGCCTATGAAGAAACACAGAACTTACTTAAATTCAAAGCATATACAAATATTTATAATAAAATATTTTTTGTACCTTCACTATTTTTTAAAGCAATTCTTTGTAAGCCAATAAAGCCAAATGAAGTATAATCATGTAATTATCATAAGAAAGAAGCAATCAAAAAATTAATTATACCTTAACATTTCAAATATTATGTATTTACATTGGAAATGAGATTCCATCTTAAAGATTATGCAGAAGTTTATTGAGTCCCTAAGTAGTGTGCTATAATGCAAAGTGAGAAATGAACCTTGCTATACTATTTCTTTCTCATGCTATGAAGACAAACTAATTCATATAAGTTGGTCCATTCACTCTGGCAATATACACTTTATCACCATCATATTTGGCAAAAGGTGCAATAAATGACCATCTTCATTGATCATTTCAAATCCAAAAATCACTTTTCAGCCAATCTCAAATATAGCCTCTAGAACACATTGAATCATCAATCAAAATATGAAGAAAACAATCATAATTTTAGCCAATACAAGTTGTTAATGTCTAAAAACTATGCTAAGATACCTTAGGAAGAAAAACCATTCATAGATAAGGAAGTAGTGGTGATGTGAAAAAGAGCCTTGTCAATACGTGTTGCAAAAATCTCTCTATTCAATCAAATCATAAATGTCACTTAGATGCAATGTAATGCTTTATTCAACATGTTGTAATTAATTTTTTAAACATGTTTCTATATTTTATTTAAATGTATATATAACTTTTTAGTATTATAATTTGGTTACTTTTATAATTTTAATATTAATTAGAAATTCAAAACAAACATGACATATCACATATTACATTTTTAATTTTATTTTTAAAAATATTTATATACTATTGGATGTATAGATACAATAAAAAGTCATTAGTATATATATTGAGTATATAACCAAGTTTTTAAATTTTACTTTCAACATCTCAATTTATTTGAATATAACATCTTTATAAAGAAAGATGTCTCTTAATTACAAAACTAATATTGTTCTAATTCAAATTTAACATCTATTGTATCAATAACACCTTCTTGAATCCAATGTCAATGAATTAGTATTCATCAAGTAAAATTTGAAGCAATACTTGCATCAACTATTGTAAAATCTTCAAACTTGGTTTCTTTCTTGTAAACATTCAAGTATTCTATATCATGATTTTTGGCTTTATTATATGTTTTTACATGTGTAAGAATGTGGATTACATCCTCTTTGATAATCCTCACTTGTAGTTGTGTATCTTTTGGTAGGACTATTTCTATTTCATCTAAGATTTTATATTGTATCTCAATGTTTCAAAGTACTTATTATTTCCTCGTTTGTCTTCGTAGTAACTTGCCTAGACCTTAGATCAACACATCTTACCACTTTCTACTTTGGATCAATGGAATTGTTCATAAAATATATTTGAGACTTACAAGTATTTAACAATCAGTATGCATTTCTATTCATGAAAAACTTTCATAATAATGCATTATAATGGTTACTATGCTACAACAATTGTCATCACGTAGTATGTGTGACTTGAGAGGATGTATGGCTTTAATTCCTTGTTTATTCTAGCTTTGTATTGTATAAACCAAAAACCATGCTCATCTTAGTAGATGATTGAATAATCTTCCAAATTTGGCTTAATCTATGAACATCAAATGATGTTGTACTTAAGATGTCAATAATCAACTTCAAAGATGTCCTTTATAATACCCATATATTATAGAGCAGCCTCAATAAGGTAATAATTTGTTTGTGATAATTTGCAACTTTGAATTATGATGGAAGTTATTTCTATATTGAAAGTTACATTGCTTCTTCTTCTATCCTCATCAACACAAAAGTGGTATCTATATGCATACATGGAATTATAATACTTTACTATTGCAAATGAAATTTGTGACATGGTTTTAAAACTTCACTTGTTTGCTCTCTTTTAGCAATTATGAACTAAACATGGTACTATAACCAATTTGAAAAAGTTTGCAATGATCACCTTATCTTTTATTCATGTGCAACACAACACTCTATGTACATGTTGCATGATATTCACATCATTGAACCATTGTAAGCTAAAATAAACCTCCACTAGTTGGAAGTTTATTCTAATTCACAACAAGTGAATTAACTATGTAAATTCTAGAATTTATAGCTCTTGTTCAATCCAATTTAATCTACTCTTAAAACTCCTTAAATCACCTTAGTAGTCAAACAAAATCTCTACTACCAACTCACACTTATAATAATAAATTACATCTCCACCCTACATATGCTGCTCACTGGATTGTCTTACTTGTATTCCTTGCCCATCAACCATGCATGATTTTTCTCCAATCTTTGCTCCACCAAGAGATACACTTAAAAAGTGCTGTATTCCTTGAGCATCTCCAACCTCGTGCATCCAACAAGTCGACACTATGATCTTCCTAACAATCTAAAGAGTTTCTATGATCTAGCATGTAACTTATCAACTAAATCTAATCTTTGGGCATGCACAATATGCTCCAGACTGACAGATTGATACAGTAAGGGGGCTCCTGATTGCAGAAGCACAGGATGAAGAGTAACTAAAAAGCAATGTTGGAGACGAAGTAATCGCCTTCGCTGCTTCGACTGCTATACAACTTTGAGTACCAAATCAATCCTATGGAATTGACACGAATGACTTTGACCCTGCTGCAGCACTACGGTGGTTTTTCAGCTTGCAGCAAGTGATGAAATTTTGCATCCAAGACCTGTCGAACAAACAAGGGATTTAGGATTGCAAGATTTGTTTGCTACATCCACAAATGGCCCACATGCTCTGCATTTACCACAGCCACTGCAAAGCCCGAACTACAAGAAAAAATCAGGCTGCCTCCTTCGTCAACAAGCCCGATCAATATAGATTTCAATGACTCCAAAATAAGAACGACATCGCCCAGGGAGAGTCGCCCTCAACACCGCGACGAACTAGCCAAACACCTTACTGGTCGCATACGTTCCGCAACACACAAAAGGAAACAAATAGAAGTACGCCGCAAAATACTCCGCAGGATGATTGTTCAAGTGGAGCAGCAGCCAACTTAAGAATAAAAAAATGCGCCAAGGGAAGATAACAATGTGTCCAAATGCACAAACAAATCTACCAACTCTACACTCAGATTTGGAATGGTGGCGGGGTTTTCAAGTCATCATCAATACCGTGGGCGTCAGCGCAGCAGCTACAGTAGTTTATGATGAAGCAGCTAGCCCCGCATCAGACCTCCAACCTTGATCAACGTAGTGGCTGCATCTGCCCTCCGATTACACGCAAGCCAATTCACAGTCAAGAACTTTAACTTCCAACACCATCCTCTACAACCTAGCTTAGCATTCTTGTCCAAACTCCGGAACAAACCTTGGCCAGCACCACGGGAAAGAGAGCACCTCGACCAAGCTGCAGCTCGACTTGCAAGTAAAGATTTCGCCACATTACAAGATTTTTTGGTAGGATGTCGACGACCAACTCAATATGCAAGCGCCGACCTTCTCAATACTACACCACCATCATATGCTGCGATTCTCCTCAGCTAAGAGCTACTTCCAAAGAACAAGATTAGTGCAGAGGCACCGCCGCACTACACAATACCGCAAAACTACAATCCACCACTTGGCACAAACTGCTACAGTGTCGCAGTCGTCTCTACTGGCAATGCAACCGCATTTAACAGGAAAACACAAGAAAAAACAGCGGGAATTACTAGATCAGTGCCGCATGCGCCTTTCCTTACGTCGAATCGAAGAGAACAAGCAGAAAATGAAGAACCTCTACCGCAGCTTTCCCTTTGACTTTTTCCGCACAGAAGGAAAAACAAAAACAACAGCAATCTTGGATCTCAGCAGCAATACTTCTCCAAACCGAGTTGCTGCAACTCCTCACAATTGGATCTCCAGAAGAAAACACCAGGAAAAAAAACCAGATCTTCCAATTCCCAGGCTCCACGCAGATCACCGAACAAAAGAAGAAGATGCTGCACCACAGCACTTCCACGGGACAAAGAAGAACACTCGTAACCACACACGCCGGTGAAGGAGACAGATCGAAATTCTTGGAGCTCTTTCACTGGATCACAAAACAAAAACAAAAGGAGAGAGGCGGAGGAATGCGGCCGGGGTCCAGAATTACCCCGGACCCCTGCAGTCCTCCCAGAGATCCGGCCGGCATCCATCCGACCGGTAAAGAAAACTTTTTGACTTTTCTTTTTTTTCTTTTTTCGTTTTCTTTCTTCTCCTTCCTTTTCTCTTCTCTCTTCCTACTTTTACTTTTCTCTTCATCCTAGTTGCCTACCTTCTTTCACATCTATTTTATTTATTTATTTATTTATTTTTGAGTTGATTTGGCTCAATAATTCTGCTTAGTTTCTAGCCTAATTAAACATATGACAACAATAAAAACTACTTCAAAAAAGCATAAATTCATATTAGCTAATTTAAAGAGGAAATATTTTATTTGGAATTCTATCCCACATAACACTATAAGAGATCCATTCTTACAACTAGAATTCTATTTTTTTGTTATTTATGTCAAAATTCCTATACTAACTCACTAGACTAGTGACTTTAAGCATCATAAGTACATTTTTTGTACTAAATATGCAAATGAATTAATTCTGTGACTTACAATAATTTTATGGATAAAAAAATAACAATAAACAACTACCATGATATAATATAGATCTAAGTTCAAATAATCATAATTAATATTATATTGATAAGGGCGTCATCTATATTAAGCCTCAGTGATGGAAAAATATATTAATATATGATTGTCAATGTCTTGAAGGATTAATTCTTTTCACTCTATCTTGAGTGGTTTTTCTTCCATAATCTTTGTGTAGTCTTTATTGTCCTTATCTATATCCTAGATAATACAAGCTTGCACAAGAAAGTTCTTATAATACTTGATAATGAACTCAAGCACCTCTTCAAATGTGTATTGCATTGCAATAGATCTCTGCGGTCTTGCTTTATTATGAACCAAACTTTTCAAGTGGCTAATATATTGCTTGGCACTGTACATCCATCTTACATTGATTGGTCTATATTAGTATAATTCACAAGATAGGTGTAATATAAGATGTAGTATTGAATTCCAAAAGATAATAGATATGTAGATCTCTAAAAGTACTATAGTTTCCACCACATAAGTTTGGAATTCAAGAATATCCAATCTTTGTACAATCTTTGTATATAAGAATTTAAAGAAACACCTTTAAAAAATCATTGCTCCTACTAGTTTTTTTAATAGAGCACCTTGTATTGTTATAGGAAAAATCTTGTAGATAAGTATATACAAGTTGTTTATTTTTATAAACTACAATTTATCCTTTTTTAGATTCACAAGCTTCTAAGAGTTTATAAAATAGCTTAATAGAATCCTCACATTATATAAGATCTAAAAGAATATCTTCTTCTTCTTAAGGTCAAGGATGTACAAGGCAATGGACTTAATATATGTTTTACTTGTACCTTTTCTTATAAGGTAGAGCTCTAGTATGACGCCTTTATTTTCATATTACAATGGACTATAATAGTTTTGGATTTTCTTAAGAAGAATCTCAAGAATGTGGACACCATATTCTTTTTGATGTATATTATATGTATAGTATGTCTTACTATGACCTCTTATAAGCATGCAATATAGCTAAAGAATTTAAAAGCTAATAGAAACATCATTAATTATAAGATGATAAGACTAAATAATATTTGATTAATATATTAATATTATTATAATATTGAATGTAATAAAGTATGATAAGATATATGTTATATAAAATAAAAAAATTATTTATCACTTAATAAAAAAGATAAAATAAGCTTGACACTTACTTCATGCTATATGTTTTAATAGAATCTTTAGCTATTGGTGAACTTTCCTTGCATAGCTATCATTCATGTTCTTTTGTCTTTGCAAGAGCTTATTTCCTTGTTATAGGTAGAAGTAGTACTCTATGTTCTTTTATATCAAGATTGATAATATTTATATGTATGTGATGGCCCTTATCTAAGTACATCTAAGCACAATTGTAGAATTTATACTTGTTCAATATCTTAGATCTTCTAGACTTGAATCTATCTCTATATATATAGCAACTAACAAATCTATTACTTGTGCATTTAACCATTACTTTGTAAGTAAGAAAGTTGCTAATAATTCAAACTACTATTTCTTTCAAAATAAAATGGAATAAGTTTTTATAGGAGCAATGTCTATGCAATATACATAAGTTTACAACTTTAATAAATTTTTTATAAGAAGTCTAATAAACTCATCAAAATATTTTACTTTAAAAAAACATGGTCTTGAGATTATGATAGTAAGCATGATGAAGTATTTTTTGGTGGATAGCCATGGTATTATATTATAATTTTATAGAAGCTTAAGCCATATTAAATATATATTATATTTATTTGAGCTTAGATTAAATCTATTTGCTACAAGATCTAATTTGATATTTTGGTCTTCTTTTTTAAACTACTTCTAATATTTCTTGTTTATCCATTTCCATTAGTACAAGTGAGATATATGTTGTCTGATATTATTGTCAAATTATTGCAATATATGCTAAATGAAAGCAATTGCTTGCAATGGCAAGCTATACATCTTTTTTAATCTCAATGTCAATGAAAAATATCTACAAATCTTGAATAGCACCTCAAATCAATTGTTAATTTTATTTTATAGTGCACAATACTTGAAGTACACCATAGCTTAAAAATAATTGCTTCAAAATAGCTTGCAATTATTTGGACAAGTATCATAGTTGTTATAAAAATAATCAAGGCATTTCAAGTACTTCGTCACTCCACAATAAGATATTGGTAGCAAATTTGGTATAGATAGGAAACATGTACTAAAGGTCCAAAAGAATTCATCAATATGTATAATTGTATACATATTTAACTTTGTGCTAGTGAGAGGCACACAAGTAGTTTTCATATTAGAATGTTTAAAGCCATGCAATAAGAAAATCATAAGAGCTTCTTCCAATGCTACTCAAAAAAATATCCGTCTTGTTGTTAAAGTTGTTTCAATCAAAGGCATCATCATTAGACTTACTTAACAATTTATCTTCTATAACTATAGAGACTACTTGTAGTAATTGTACATTAGGTGTATTTTCATCTTGGATAGGCTAGTCAATACATGTATTAATAATATCAATACATTCTTTATTAATAAAAGCTTAATAAAAGTCACAAATAGATTTATTTTATGACACTTTGTCATTGATAGAATGAATGTTATATTAATGACAATTTTATCCAATAGTGTTGACTTTCTCTTATTGTTCACAAATCCTATTAGAGGCTATGTCTTTTTGGATTCTATCAACTAAATCATAAGTGCCTATAACTATATCATTAAGGTCAATTTTAATATCCATTCTCTAGTGTCAATACTAAATTGGTTCATTCCTTGCTTGTGTTTCATAATACCAACTAATATAATTAACTTGCTAATAGTCTAAATCATTTGTATTACATCTTTATTCATGATTATGACCATTTTTAGTATTTTTAGTATTTATTAAAAAATATCTAATATCAAACTACAACAATTGTGAACATATTCTTAAAAATAAATATAATATCTCTATAGAGCCTTAAAATCAAGGATATTGATAGTTTTTACAAAAAAATTACTTGTAATTTTTGATTAGCACTTCTAATTTGCAAACATATAAATTGTAATAACAAAGTATCCTTGTCAATTCTATGTCAATAACAACAATTAATTCTTGATTAACTAGCCAAATTTTTCTATTAATGATGCATGTCTCATTTAGTACCTTATACCAATACTATCCTTTATATCAAAGCAAGAATTAATGTTTTAATTTGAATCATATTTTGGTCCAATTATAATAGCCAATAGATAATGGAAGATGAATTATGAAATCTAGAAAGATAGTTAGGATGCAATTCAATAAAGTCTAGGAATTAAGTTAATGGTGATAAAAAATAAATAATGAGTATTAGAAAAAAATAAATATTTGGTCAAAGTGACTTACAAATTCTATATTGTAAGACATGCATACTTGAATTGCAACCACAATGACAATCTATACAAAAAATCAACATAGAGATAAAAACTTCAATCTAATTAAATACTTTGCACAACCTAAAAATCATCTATAACTACAACATAAATTTTTAAATTTGATAAAATTCTCAAGGAATTGCAAAAAACCTCTTCTAAAGATAAAAGTATAATTAATTGTTACTATATAAAATAACAACCAAAAAAAATTTATGTCAAAAGAAATCATGAATTTATCATGGTAGAAAATTAAAACTACTATGAATTCTTAGAGCAAAATAAAACTTGATATTCCTTGCAATTATTTATTTATAGCTTATTATAATTATATTCATTGAAAGTCATATAAATTATCAATAATATATTTACAAGTCAAATCAATGATGGTCTATTGGATATAATATATCAAAGATAAGAATCCAATAAAAATAAATAACCAAGTGAGACTTTTTTCGAAGAAGCATAACAAAATAGAAGTAAGAGAACTTATATATTAAAAAAAAAAATGGCTATTACCAAAAAATAAGAAAATTAAAGATTTTAAAATCTAAACTAAAGCAATAAAAGAATTGACAAGACTGAAGAAGGCTTCACTCTTGCTTTTATATATATTATCCACTAGGAGCTACATGGCAATATTTCATAGGACCTTTAATATGTGTTAATTTTGTAAGCCACATGTCTTAACTTGCAAGGCAAGTTTTCTATGTGTGTACTTTATAATTAGCTTATTCTACAAACTAGTCATATATATGATATGTGGCTAATTTATTGACCAAGTTTTTAATTTAAAAATCAATTATAAACACATATAAAGTCAAATTATATTTATGAAGCTTCTAAAAAGCTTTTCTAGAAGATATTATGAAATTAATCTATTTTTACTTATTTTTATTTATTTCTATCTAATCATATGGATAATTATTAGAATAAGTATCTTTATTTGTGATATTATATCCATGACATTATCCACCTTACTTGAGACAAGTTCTATGAGACGTGGTTATGATATGTTGAGAAAATCTAAGATGCAACAAATTATATTTGTCACATATTTTGATCTTTGTTCT